AGTTGACAAGGCCAGTCTCTGATCAAGAAATCAGTCATGCTGTAAATTCCATGCACCCAAACAAGTCTCCTGGACCAGATGGTATGTCCCCTATCTTTTTTCAAAAATTTTGGCATATTGTCAAGTGTGATGTTATTAGTGCAGTTCAAAGTTTTTTTCATTCTGGTCACATTCTAAAATCCATAAATGAGACCTTGATCAGCCTTATCCCTAAAACTGATTCACCTAATCTGATTACTGAGTTTAGACCTATCAGTTTGTGTAATGTCACTTACAAGATCATCTCAAAAGTTCTAGTTAACAAATTTAAAACTGTGCTAGATTGTTGCATTAGTTCCTCGCAGTCTGCTTTTGTACCTGGCAGGCAGATTCTGGACAATGTACTAGTGGCACATGAGAGTATTCATTTTCTTAATAATAAGAGAACTGGAAAAGATGGTTATATGGCTATCAAACTTGATATGTCTAAGGCTTATGATAGGGTCGAATGGGTGTTTTTGGCATAGATGATACAAAAAATGGGGTTCTGTCCAGTTTGGATTCAGTGGATCTTAGAGTGTATTACTAGTGTCACCTACTCTGTGAATGTTAATGGGGAAAAAAGGGGATTTATCAAGCCTTCTAGAGGCCTAAGGCAAGGAGATCCCCTATCCCCCTACTTATTTCTGATATGTGTAGAAGGTTTCTTTGCCCTGCTCAGAAGAGCTAATAGGCAAGGCAGAATGTCTAGAATGAAGATTGCTAATGGAGCTCCTAGCTTGTCTCATCTCTTCTTTGCAGATGATTCATTAATCTTCTGTAAAGCCAAGGTTGGGGAGGCTGTGCAGCTTATGCAGGTGTTGGAAGAATATGGACGAGCATCTGGCCAGTTGATCAACAAAGAAAAATCCTCTATCTTTTTCAGCAAAAATGTCAAAGGAAGGAGAAAGGAAGAGGTGCTTAAGGAGCTGGAAGGCATGAGAGAAGTCCATCAGAGCAAATATCTTGGGCTTCCTATGGTTATAGGAAGGTCAAAGAGACAAGTATTTGAGTTCATTAGACAGAAAGCAATAAAAAGACTTGGGGGTTGGAAGGAAAAACTTCTAAGCCAAGCAGGAAAGGAGACTTTATTGAAGTCTGTCATTCTAGCTCTCCCGGCATATGTGATGTCTTGCTGTAGGCTGCCAAAGGCATTGTGTCAGAATGTGTGTTCAGAAATGGCTAAATTCTGGTGGGGGCAGAGGGAGGATGAGAAGAAAATTCACTGGATAAAATGGAGTAGAATGACAGATATCAAAGCTGAAGGGGGCCTGGGATTTAGAGATTTACAGGACTTCAACTTGGCATTATTGGGGAAACAGTTATGGAGAATTTTGATGCAGCCTAATTTGCTGATGAGTAGAGTTATGAAAGCGAGGTATTTTGGTGGGAAATCCATATGGGATGCACAACCAAAAGGCTCAGATTCATGGTGCTGGAAGAGTTTACTGAGTGCCAGAGGAGTGCTGGAGGATGGACTAAGAAGGAGGGTGGGAGATAGGGAATCTATTAAAATCTGGGAAGATAGGTGGCTGCCAAGGATAGAGGATGGGAAGATAAGGTCTCAGAGGAAGGTTGATAGCAAGGTTCAGAGGGTTAGTGAGTTGATCAAGGATGGTAAGTGGGATAGAGAATTGCTAAGGCAGGAATTTGAGGAGAAGGACAGGTTGCAAATACTAAAGATACCACTGAGTTTGGGGAAGGTAATGGATAGGACCTATTGGGCAAAATCAAGTTATGGTGTGTATTCCGTCAAGACTGGATACAAACTAGTCAAGGAAATGAAGAGGAGACAGTGTCAGCATGGAGGAACTTTAGAACCAAGTAGCAGTAGGATGATCAAGTCTCAAAACTGGAGTTTTCTGTGGGGCTTGAGCATGCCAAATAAACTCAAACACTTCATTTGGAAATGTTTGCAAGGAATATTACCAACAAATGCAGTGGTGAAGGGAAAGTGTGGTAAGGGGGATCATGTGTGCAAGTGTTGTGGCGATAGCCCTGAGACATTAGAGCATATGTTTTTTCTGTGCTGTAATGCTAGGGCAATCTGGAAGGTGGCACCATTGAGGTGGGATGGATTGGAGGAGTTTAGGAACAATTTTTGGCATTGGTGGGAAGAAGTTAGGGGGGCTGTGACTCGAGAGAGAGAAAGGGAGCACATAACTCTTACGGTAAACATCTTGTGGCAGATTTGGAAATCCAGGAATAATAAGCAATTCAACAACAGGAGCAGTGAGCCTATAGTGGTGGTGAATAAGGCACTAATGGCATGGAATGAGTTTCAGCTGGCACAAGGGGGGGAGCAAAACATGACAATTTGGCAGTGGGAGAGCAGGAGAAGGGCAGGAGATGGGTTGCACCGCAAGCTGGCTGGATCAAGCTCAATACTGATGCAGCTTTGGACCAAAAGCGTAACAAGGCAGGGTGGAGTGTAGTGGCCAGGAACAGCTTAGGGGAATTGGTAGGATCATAGGCGAGGCCAACTGAAGGCTGTGCTGAGGCACAGGTGGAGGAAGCTCTGGCAATAAGAGAAGCTATGGTATTAGCCAAACGAATGGGATGGAGGAAAGTGGAGCTGGAATCGGACTGTAAGTTAGTAGTGGACAAGATCAATGCAAGGGAGGAGGAAGTCAGCATAGCCACAATTCAGTTGGATATTTGGAGACTGATGAAAGATTTTGATAAATGTTGTTGTTCCTATACTAGAAGGAGCAACAACTATGTAAGTCACTATTTAGCAAAGTTTGCTATAACACTGATTGATGTAGCTGAATGGAAGCTTAGCTTCCCAGCGTGGTTGCTTGAGTTAGCTCAGGCTGATCTACAGGAGCAGTTGCTCTGATTTTGTATCCGGTTATGATTTAATGCAATGTTATCGTTTGGAAAAAAAATAACAACAAAATAAAGCAAAAAAAAAAAAAGTCTCCATAGGAGTTTGTTTCAATTGGATGGATGATGTAATGTTCAAATTGGGATTGGATACGTAAGGGCAAAGGTAAGCCATTTCCTTTTCCCTTTTTTGTTTTTTTTGGGGAATGCATTCGATGTTTGATTTTCCCAAAGGAATTAAAACAAACTTGGATAGTACAAAAGTTTAATGTGGAAGATGACCCCACAATTTTTAAGTGAATTTGACCATTTATTTGTATGTAAAGTTTTAATTGTTGGATCCTGGAATAATCAGGAAGTCGTATCGGGTTTATTAAATAAAAAGGGGAGGAAGGAAGCGTTTGATGATTTGGGCTGAGAAATTGGGCTTGCGAACAAAGCACACAGGCCTGAATTTAGAGATGTGGGTCCCATTTTAGTAAAACATGTAGTATTAAGTCCTTGTGCTTTGGCTCACTTTAAAAATTTAGCTAACCTGTTATCTCAAATTTCTTATTTAACCCCAAAACTTGGTTATATTTTAATTTTACCATTTTTGTATAGTAATACATACCACAAGAATGTAAAAACCCAAGTTTCCAAGTAAAATCATCGTCCCTTGTCATCTATAACCATTTTCAGATGCCCACGACTAGTATTCGTCGAATTTTTGCCATATTTTTTTTTTCTATACTGTCATTACTACCGCATATCATGATAATATATTTTTCTATAATTTTCAAATTTTACATATTTTATTATAGTTATATGTGTTTTAATAATATTTTGCATAACTATTACAATATTTTTAAAATTTTTAAATATTCAAAAATTTTAAAATTCATGAGAATTACAACCCATGCTCCAAGGCTTTCGTGCTGCTGGAGTAGAGACAAATGCCTCACCTCAGGCAAGGCCTTTTGCAACACTGGGCCAAAGGCACGAAAAGTAAGAAGGACTGGATGTTATGGATTAGTGTGTTACATCTAAGTTCTGATGTCTTCCCCTTTTTTTTTCAATTTATTAACTATTCAGTCTTAATCTGAATTATTTGTTCATGATTGAAGTCAAAATCAATGTATTGGTAAAGAACTGATCAGGGGTCAAGTGATTTTAACTTTTCCTTAAATCTTACACTAGAAAAAGGAAAAATACAAGCAGTTTATTCACAAATAGAGTTTGAATTCCCTAAATTGTTGGACTGTACCTTACTCTTCATTTTTCTGAGACTCAAAAAAAATGCTACTCTTTGAACTTCCCATGCTTAACAGATCGATCTTCTAGACATATTCGTTAGTGATTCTTTTCAACATCCATCCATTGTGTAATTTCAAGCATTTATTTGCTTTCTGCATGTAAAGTTTAGTTTCTCAAACATTGAGGATGGGGCTGCAAATATCCCTGAATGCTTGTATTGTCCTTCTCAAGTATAATGCTTAAATTGAGGACCAGGCAGCTCTGTTTTGTTTATGTTCTCAAATGTATGGTTTTCACCCCACAGGATTCGCAGCTGGCCGGCTTTGATATCCTTCTCTAATCTGCACTTTCAAGACCATGTTGGAAGCAAGAAAGCCTATACCATTGGCAAGGGCATTGGAACTACTTGCTACATCTGTGATGCAGCTTTCCTTTACCTGTTCCACTTAGCTAGATGCCCAAACCTGGACCCCCTACGTCTATGGAGTATGGTGTTAAGAACTTTTTTGCCCAACGAATCCCTAATTTCTATGGCGTCGAGAACTTTTAGCTTTCCATTGGTGTTTACTATGGTATCAAGAACTTTTCTGCTTTCCATTGGTGCTTACATAGTTTTTGTTGATTTCTTATTCACTTTAGACCATTTTCTACTTTTTTGTTGGTATGATGTAGTTTACAATGACATTGTTGGTATGTTGTGTTCTACTTTTACATGACCAGATCTTTATTCATTATAAGCACTCTAAAGAAACACCATTCTTCTTAAAACTTTACATATCTTAACCCTCGAGACAATAGTATGACGAAGTTTTTGGATCAAATACAACTCGCTCAACTCTCAATACAGTGAAATCACCAACAGGTAGAATGCTAGAAGGAATTAATACCTCAACAAAGGTATGTCTTCATGTAGTCTTCTAAGTTGACAAAGGTTTAGTTTCAGGAGTTCGCCAAGTACCACGGCCAGGATCATATCTATCACCCTTGACTCCAGCTGATGCAATAGATTCAAGTTCATCCATATCTTCTGCTGACAGTTTTACAGACAAAGCTCCTATATTCTGATTGAGGTTCTCAATCTTGGTAGTGCCAGGTATGGGGCAAACATCATTGCCTTGGTGATGGACCCAGGCCAATGCTAGCTGTGATGGAGTACAACCCTTCCTTGAAGCAATGGCAGTGGCCCGCTCATACAACTTCTTGTTGTGCTCCAAATTCTCTGCTTGAAACCTTGGCATATTCTAAATTGTATGAATTTCAAAATTTAAGCAACTGCAATGCAGAAATTCAAAAGGCAGTAAAGCATGTGTCGTCTACAAAAGACAACAATACGAATAACTTCAAGATGATCATAGTATTGTTTGAAGTGAACAAAGTTCAGGGAAAAGAACAGTCTTGTAAGGTGGACTGAGTACTCTAAGAAATCTCAATTGTAGAAGGTAGATCTTGATATACATTTCCCATTAAAGAGGAAACTATAATGCAAGAAATCAGAAGGGAGTAATGAACAGATGGTACTAATTACTTCAAGATGATCAGAAATATTGTTTGACGGGCACAAGTTCAGGGGAAAGATCAATGCATCAAGGTGGACTGAGTACTCCAAGTAGGAAACATCAAATGTTGGAGTTAAGTTCTGAGATACATTTCCCATCAAAGATGAAACTCAAAATACAAATCAACTAAATTTTAATCTCAGTTTTAGGATAAAATGATTACATGACATTGTTGACTTCTTCTATAGTACATTTTTTTCCTCATTTAGACCTTTTTTTTTGCTTTTTGTTAATATGATGTAGTTTACACTTTACAATGATGTGACCTTGGAGTTTCTTTTGATGTAAACATTCCGAGCATAAAATGTTTATATGCTTATGTTTAATAAGTCCTGAATTGAATGCTGTTCGACAATCTATAACTCTCGTAGCAGTAGCACATAAAAAATGGACCACTTTAGCATTCAAAAGTACAATATATAACCTTTAATGCATTCAACTGCAAGGAAAATTATATTCTGCTTTTACATGACCAGATATTTATTCATTACAATCTCTCTGAAGAAACTTCATTCTTCTTATAACTTTACTTGCCTTAACCCTAGAGACAATAGTATGTCAAAATTTATTGGAACAAATACATATCACTTCTCTTAATATAGTGGAATCCACCATCAGGCACATAGCTAGAAGGAATTATTGACATAACAAAGTATGTCTTCATGTTCTCTTCCAGGTTGACAAAGGTGGAGTTTCAGAAGTTTGCCAAGTACCATGGCCAGGCCCATACCTATCACCCTTGACTCCCGCAGAAGCAATAGATTCAAGTTCCGCCATTTCCTCGGCCGACAGTTTTACAGACAAAGCTCCTATATTCTGATTGAGGTTCTCAATCTTGGTAGTGCCAGGTATGGGGCAAACATCATTGCCTTGGTGATGGAGCCAGGCCAATGCTAGCTGTGATGGAGTACAACCCTTCCTTGAAGCAATGGCATTGACCCGCTCATACAAGTTCTTGTTGTGCTCCAAATTCTCAGCTTGAAACCTTGGCATATCCTACATTGTATGAATTTCAAAATTTAAGCAACTGTAATGCCAGAAATTCAAAAGGGAGCAAAGCATGTGTCGTCTACAAATGAAGACAATATGAATAACTTCAAGATGATCGATAGTATTGTTTAAGGTGTACAAAGTTCAGGGGAAGGAACAATCCAGTAAGGTGGACTGAGTACTCTAAGAAACCTCAATTGTAGAAGGTAGATCCTGAGATACATTTCCCATTAAAGAGGAAACTATAATGCAAGAAATCGGGAGGGAGTAATGAACAGACGGTACTAATTACTTCAAGATGATCAGAAATACTGTTTGAAGGGCACAAGTTCAGGGGAAAGAACAATGCATCAAGTTCGACTGAATATTCCACGTAGGAAACATCAACTGTTGGAGTTAAGTTCTGAGATACATTTCCCATCAAAGAGGAAACTTAAAATACAAATCAACTAATTTTTGTTTGTTTGAACGATGGAGGTACTACTATGAATGATAGAGGAGGTACTACTATGAAGTATATTTCTGACCAATGAAACTCAGTTTTAGGATTAATGGTAAAGGAAAAATGATAGTTTCACAGGACAGCATGAGTTCTGTGCCTGAGATTAAATGATGAAATTGAAGTCTAAGGTAAAATGATAGTTTCCCCTCAAAACTGTAAAGAGACTTTTACTTAAAAAGTGACATAGTTTCTTCCTCTTTTGACATCTTTGCACTTTAAAATTTGATACTACCCATTGCTTGTGATAGACAACAATAGGGATATCAAGCATGATTGCCACTGAATGTGGTAAAAGTAGATGAGTGAGAAACTTATTCGAACTATAAACAATGTATACTCAAAAACTCCATCTTTTTCGATATGCACAAACCTTTCGGTAGTCACCTTCAGCCAAATTCTCGATCAGCTTTGGACCTGATGAGAAGAAACCTCGTCCAAGTGGACTATATGCAACAATCCCTATGCCAAGCTCTCTGAAAGATTATACCAAAAACTGAATTTAGAACTTAATATTTCTTCTAGACCATGTAGAAAATGCAGCAGAATATATGCACTACCTGCAAGTGGGAATAATCTCTTCCTCGACATCTCTGGTCCACAATGACCACTCCAACTGTACAGCTGTTATTGGATGAACAGCATGTGCTCTTCGAATTGTTGAAGCTGAGGCCTCAGACAGACCTATATACTTTATTTTACCCTCTTCAACCAGTTTCTTGAGCTCTCCTATCTAGAGAATTTCAATGGACAAGAAGATGCTAAGCTGATTTATTACATTCAACACTCAGGCAGATAATCAAAATATTACGTACAAAAAGTAAAAGTTGCACTAGTTCATCGAAGTCATGGACAAAGTACACGTCAAACTGAAATCACTAATTGATGAAAATGGCAATAAGCATCTGGTGATACTTCTCTATGTACAGCCCACCAGAGGACTTAGTTCTACTGGACCATGCCAACATAATGCTCCTCCAATATGATTACATGGCATTGTTGACTTCTATATATAATAATGGCTGTACATATCAATTATCAGTTGCCAATTTTGCTTGATTTCCTTTATACTTGCTTGTATTTTGAGTGATTAAACTGCAAGAAAGTTTCTACCTAATACTCAGGGAAACCAAGACAATTCTTTGCTGATTACATGAGAAAAAGAAGACAGAAATTGTTTCATAAAAGCTGAATGTAAGCAAGCTGCTGAAATCTTTGAATTGTTTGGAGAGGTCAATGGGGCAGTTGCAGCTGGCTTTGACAATTAGACAAAAAGATGTGTTCTGAACAAAATGAGTACCATGTTTTTTAGATATCAATAATAAATGTCTATCTGCAGTGCTTTAGGCACCAACTGAAAATGGTTGACAAGGTAAGTAAATAGCAGATCATTACTCAACCAGATAGCCTATCTCAAACGAAAGAGAATGCTCAGGTCTCTTCGTTCTAAAGAAAACTGTACAATGTATAGCATGATATCCACCTGTATATAGGACCGTCAAGCTAATACAAAACATTTTCATTGTTTTCACTTTTCAGGATGCCTTGTGCAAAATCAGCTATACCATACTGCAGATTATCCGAGACCATAAGGTTGACTAACTTTTCTGTGCAACTTTTGAAGAATTGAAACGGACATGAAACTGAATTATTCAAAATTTGGAGTTGATCAAACTTTTGTTTCATCAAGAATAAGTGGAGCTAAAAAACAAGAAAGGCAAGACGAGCAAACCGTGACTTCAATGGGCACACGTGTATCGATGCGATGTTGATAATAGAGATCAATGCAGTCCGCATCAAGCCGCTTCAAACTCGCTTCACAAGAAGCCCTCACATAGGCTGGATCACCACGCACATCAAACTTCCCATCCTGCAAACTGACTGCAAATTTTGTTGCTAGCTCCACTTTCGCTCTTATTCCTTCCTTCAAGGCCTAGAACCATGGTTTCATTATATTAATCATCAAGGACATACACATTATTGCATGGTATAGCAAGTGGATTTGTGATTTCATGGATGGCACAGTCCCTCTGGAGTTTTTCCAACACTTCATTGTTAAGGCTATGCCACTTCTTTATGTAGCAAAGGATATGAAAATTATGTAATCCTTGGAGTTTAGAAGTCTGATACTCTTAAAGGACCCAATCCATTTTCTCTTTTTGTTTTATGTTTCTTCAACTTAAATTTACAATCTAGCTTTTTCATTCACAAGATTTGGTGCACAACATGAACGTACACAGAATCGTGCACATGCACATTAATACAAAAATAGGGAACTGATCAATGTAGATTAATTAGTGCCCTTTTTGGAACCATTTGGATCAAAGGAAAGGAAAGATAAATAAATAAAACATCCTAGTGAAAAAGAAAGGAAAGGACTAAGGAGAGTAGAGGAAAATAGTTCTCATTTGTCTTATTTGGATTAGATATGGATGGGAAAGAAAGAAAACCTAAATATGCTGTTTAAAGGAATGGTTTTTCTCTCTTCTTTTTTAACAGCAAAAGAGGAACTTTACTTATCGATAAAATATTTACATAAGTTGCTTAGTCAAACATTCCTAGCCTGCTGTTGCATCCCACAATTCATATCTAAAGCAGGTTTCACAAATGGCAAGTTCTACAGCTATGAAATACATGGTTACTCAAGTTTAAATTTGGGTGCTTGAGGCATTTTATAAGAAAATCATCAACGAGATTTTCTTTCCCTCTGTTTCCGTCTATTTTTGTATGGAAATGATGTCTGAGCAAAACACAATCCATCCATTTCCTTTTCTTTCCGTTTCCTCTCCTTTCCCCACCCAAAATCAATCCAAACACAATCCATCCATTTTCTTACCTTTCTTTTCCCTTCTATTCCTTCATACAATTCTCTTTTCATAATCTTTAAAACTTTACCGCTCATAACAAGTAAATTTTACTATCCCTTATCAGAGAAATAGTAAACTTTCCATAAATTGATGTAGTACTATTTTACCAACTCCATTATGATATAAAATTTTGAAGGAAAAAACAAAAGAAAATAAAGAGATGGTAGAAGAGTTCTAATCCTTCGTGTTACTTCTAATGGGATAGAGCTATTCAACGTATGCGCTAGACCTACAACCTTCTCTTCTCAACTTTGTTGCAAGTTTGACAATTGACACCACATGGATGCCATTGTCGGAATACTGAAAATATTGGGTGACTGAGCTAT